TTCAACACTAGTGTATTCCACAGATTTCTGTGTTAGCATACAAATTCGGTGCATGTTTTCAATTCCGTATTATAATACGTTTGTTCCTTACTTCCATATCAAATAGCACGTATGTTACGTCATAAATAATGTTTTGATCGCGAGAAAAGACGGAAAAGATATATCAGTGACGCTCTTTGGTTTCAGTGAGATAAAGAATGATAATGTTGTTTAATGTCTGCTTCACTGAAATGGTAAAGGTTTCAATTTCAATCATTTCTCATTTGCACCCGCTTACTTTAAATAATGACTTGCATTCCACGTGGAGCTGCTACATTCACTTCACAGTAAAACCCTTGCCCTTTCATTTATCCTTGCAACCTGGTGGTAAAATTTAGTGCAAACTCGGCAGTAAGGCCTTTGAAGGCAACCAATTTAACTCTGAATGGAGAGTCAGAGAGAAACGGGAAACAACTCTAATAACTTATCTAAGAAAAATTATAATAATTATAAGTTGTTTTAAAATAATGACACATTTTTTAATGAGTCAATTTTTTTTCCACAGTATAAAACTTGTTAAATACTAAAAAAAAATGATCATTTTTTTATGTTTTTTTTTTTAATAATTGTTCCGAATTATTTTTTTTAATATTACTAATAATATGTATATTTTTAATTGAAAAAATAATATTTTTTCATTTGTAATTAAAGTTAAATTTTCAATTTCTCGAGTCGATTTATCAGTTTTTGATAGGGCAACTATTTTAACAGATTGTGGTGTGTGCTTATATTTTTTTCATAACAAATCAATAATTAATTATATTTTTGGTTTCTTTCATATAATTTAAAATAATACTAGAAATTTCAAAAATTTTTAAAAATATTCTGGAATAAAATTACAAGAGATATTAAAGGCAACTATGGAGAATTATGAGTTCCTATCTACTGAATTGACGGAACATTTTTTTTTAAATAGCATGTAGTTCTAAGTAGAAAGTGAGAACATGTCTAATCAGTAGTCGTGCAAGCTTCTTTAATTTATCAATAATGCTTCGGTCACAGCTTTCCAAACACTCATACCACAACGTTTTCTTATAATTTCCTATTTTTATTTTAAGTATTAACTTAACTTTTCATTGATGCATTAATTTTATATACGTTTTGAATGATACACTTGACTTGTCTAGCAAAATCTAACACTTCTGTCTCTTAAGCCATTTCAAGCCCAAGCCAGTCATGCTTTTCCCAGCTAAAGTGTCGACAAATATTCTTAAGGCTTTGCTAATAGTTTATAAATATAGCTGCGTAGATTAAATAAACGGTTTCCTTCGACATTTGATGTAGGCTACACGGATCTATATTCTTCTGAATCCCGGATAACAACAACAAAGATGAGGACAATACTTTACAAGCCTTCCCACCGCCGGTCTGGTGCCCGTTCTATATTCAGAGATTCTTGATAACATCTGCAATATTGATGGTCAAGATTTGTCATCTCAGCTTCAGTCACTTTCTAACTATAATTTCTCTTATGCTATGACCAGGACAATCATGCTTTTCTCAGCTAATGAGTCGACAAATATTCCCGAAGATTCTCCAATAGTTTAACACTTCCTGACTAGATAGATAGATAGATAGATAGATAGATAGGCAGACATATAGATATGAACTGACGGAGATAGATAGATAGATAGATAGATAGATAGATAGATAGATAGATAGATAGATAGATAACATTCACTTTGTCACAACGTTTCGACATTTGTGCCCTCAGAGGGTAGATTGAGCTTGTTCCACTGCTTAGATATAGGCGGTTAAATCTATTCCCCGTGGATTAAATAAACAGTTTATTTCGAAATTAGATGTAGGCTACACGGATAGTTTAACACGACCTGGCTAGGTAGGAGCAAGACAGACAGACAGATAGATAGATAGATAGATAGATAGATAGATAGATAGATAGATAGATAGATAGATATGAACATACCGAGATAGCTAGCTTTGTAGATAGATTTGAATAGTTTTTGATAGATAGATATGAACAGACCAAGATAGATAGATATGAACATACCACGATAGATAGATAGATAGATAGATCTGAATAGTCTTTGATAGATAGATAGATAGATAGATAGATAGATAGATAGATAGATAGATAGATAGACAGATATGAACAGACCAAGATAGATAGATATGAACAGACCACGGTAGATAGATAGATTTCAATAGTCTTTGATAGATAGATAGATAGATAGATAGATAGATAGATAGATAGATAGATAGATAGATATGAACATACCACGATAGATAGATAGATTTGAATAATCTTTGATAGATAGATAGATAGATAGATAGATAGATAGATAGATAGATATGAACAGACCACGATAGATAGATAGATTTGAATTTCTTTTGATATAGATCTTAGATAGATAGATAGATAGATGAGATAGATAGATAGATAGATAGATAGATAGATAGATTTCAATAGTCTTTGATAGATAGATAGATAGATAGATAGATAGATAATAGATAGATAGATAGATAGATAGATAGATATGAACAGACCGAGATAGCTAGCTTGGTAGATAGATTTGAATAGTCTTAGATAGATAGATAGATAGATAGATAGATAGATAGATAGATAGATAGATAGATTTGAATAATCTTTGATAGATAGATAGATTTGAATAATCTTTGATAGATAGATAGCTAGATAGATATGAACAGACCACTATAGATAGATAGATTTCAATAGTCTTTGATAGATAGATAGATAGATAGATAGATAGATAGATAGATAGATAGATAGATAGATAGATATGAACAGACCGAGATAGCTAGCTTGGTAGATAGATTTCAATAGTCTTAGATATATATATAGATAGATAGACAGATAGACAGATATGAACAGACCAAGATAGATAGATAGATTTGTATAATCTTTGATAGATAGATAGATAGATAGATAGATAGATAGATATGAACAAACTGAGATAGCTAGCTTTGTAGATAGATTTGAATAGTCTTTGATAGATCTCAGCTTCAGTTATTGTCCTACTCTTTTTCTTATGTGATGACCAGATCGATCATGCACTTTCCAAATAAAGTGTCTCGGGGTTTTTTCCAATCACTACCCGGCAAAAATTAATGTTTCTCTATTATTGCAGGATATTGCATTATCTAAGTACCGTAATTAATTTTTTGCATGAATTTTATCACCTCTAGAAAAAAAGTTACCTATGCCTAGTGCAACCGATTGGCAGGAAAATAAGAAAATCACCTATTCGAATAGAGTTGACGGTTGCACCTAGCGAGGTCAACAGTAAAATGTGAGACCTACAGCCAATCCAGTAGCACGCTTAAATACCCGCATCGAGGCTCTAACAACTAATGAGAACAATTGCAATGAGAATATTTGTAGACAAGACAGGGCTTACGGCCATATGCAGTTAAGCAACATCGGGACTGGTCTGCATCTAAATGGGTGACCGCTTGGGAATACCAGGTGTTGTAAGCTTAGGTGTGCAAGTGATTTAGTAGATAAGGGCCCGCAATTGTTAATCTGGAGAGCCGGGTTTCAATTCCAGTTGGGTTCGTTATATTCACTTACAGAAAGATATTAATTCACTTCTTTACCCAACAGCTACTGGTTAATTATTAAGATTTGCAACATTCTTATCTCCTCCAAAAATTCTTACAATGAAAAATTATTTACTGGCTTTAAATAACCTACAAAGAGTTTATACGCCTTAAAAAAAAACAAATCAGTCAATAAAAAAAGTCACATCGCGTCATTGAGAAAGTAACTGAAGTTGAGATGAGAGTTCAGGATCTGTTACCTTAGAGACACTTCTTTGAATTTTATCAAGAATTGCGAGAGATATAGATATATAATGACAACACTTCGCAGGTTTAAGCTTTAAGAAAGCTTTATTCAACTGAAAATACAAGGTCCGCTTATAATGTCCTTTTATAGTCCCAGTATACAGAAATAGCTCTCTCAAAGAGGAGAGAGAGAGAGAGTGACAAAACAAGGAGAGATCACTCTTGATTATTTATAACAGTAGGAACACTAGACCAGATAAGGCAGCAGTATTCAACTCACGGACGAGAAAAAAAAAACAGTAAAACGGAAGAAAGGAATATTAACATTCAAAGAAAGTATAGACAAGGAGTAAGGCAAAAACCAAAGAAAGAATAATGAAAGAAAACAAAATAAAAAAAAAACAAGAAAACTAAAATAGATATAAAAAAAGAAAGAAAGAAATAACATGAAGAATGAATCTAAAACATAAAGCTATGAAGACAAAAAAGAAAAAAGAAAGAAAAAAGAAACCATGTAAAAGCACGAAAAAGAAAGAAAGAAAGAAAACAGAGTTTGAAGCAGATTTTCACAATGAAGTAAGAAACATTATCAAGTCTGTAACCAATTTGCACATTGTTTAAACTCTGTAAGAAAATTTCCCATTTGCTTTTCTCTTTATGTTTCCCTGTGTTGCATTATTTTCCTCGTCTTTTTTTTTTTAATTCTATCTTTTCTTCTTTGGCGTGTTAAGGCGTCTAATCTGAATGGAGTAGGCAAGCGAGCAAATTACAGAATGCTGACAGGCCCAGATTAATTAAAACCACTCTCCTGACCGGCGTTTTACAATATGGTGGATGAGACGGGAATAGAAGGGAGGTAATCCAGAAATGTCAAAATAGAGGAAATAAAATTATGGGCGGTAAAAGGGGACAGACAACAACAGGAACGAGAAGTTAAACAATGGAGTGAAAATTGAAAAAAAATAAATGAATAAAATAGTTTAGCAAAATAACAGTAACTGAAAGTCAATAAAACGGGATCAAAATTAGTGAAGAAACGAATCTATTGTGAGAAGACAAAATGTCTTTTGTGCAAGAGATCTTTTAATGGACACAGTGTTTGGGCGGGGTTTACCATTGTTATAAGCTTCGGGTAAATAGGCAACGTGACAAGTAAAAATGGAAGGAGGATGGGGGGATATCTATCTATCTATCTATCTCCCCAGATAGATAGATAGATAGATAGATAGATAGATAGATAGATAGATACTGACTGAGATAGATAAATAGATAGAAAGAATAAAAATGATAGGGATAGATAGATAGATAGATAGATAGATAGATAGATAGATAGAAGCTGATTGAGGTAAATAGATTGCGACGCCCTAGTGGTCAACGCAGGCACCCACCAGGGGTCACTTCTCGGACCAACCCTCTTTCTCAGGTACAAAAACGATCCACCTAAGAATATACTCCGATCATTTTTAAATATCTATGCTGATGATACGAGGGTATACGGGCGCATTTCTAAAACTCTTGACAACCAGAGATTTGCATACCACATATTCACCGGGTGGGGGGATCTACCAATTAAAATACGCGAAGGAGGTTTAACGAAAAAGTAGTTAGCAAAAATCATATACTTTAAGTATCAGAATCTAATGCTAATGCTCGTTCCTTCCCTGAATTGCGTGGCCAGTCAGAAAAATCACTTGGTTCATAAAACAGAGTGCCGCTATCGAATCGTATAAGATTATAAAGATTTTGAAGAAGGTATAAAATCAAATGGATATTTCATATTGGACAAGTATTTATTAGTCTGTCGTTGAAGAAATAAGTCATAGAAATACGGTAAAAGTGTGAAATATAATGAAGATGATTTTTTCTGAGCTTAATGGACAAGCATGGGTTTCTGCTGGTGAGAAGTAAAGGTTGGATTTGTGACCCCATTTTGTCATTACTATGTTTCCTGTTGGACTGTTACTACAGACTCTCGTTTGAACAGTGAATTGGCTACAAGTGTTGCAGACGAGAGACAGATGAAAGCTATTGCTACAATAATTTTACAGCTTTTTTTTCTTTTTCTCTACAACAACAGTCAATTTTGCAGAGAAGAATGTGATAATTTTGTTACTTATTTTAATATAACTTCCAGTTATTCAGTTTGGGATGACTAGCATTATGGCTGACAAGATAGTATATGCTCTCTGCTCACTTTCTCACGTAAAGCTCTATAGACTTAGTTTCTTATTGAAAGGCTACATCAATTGCTGTCAAGTGTCTTGCTAAGTTCTTCGCTGAATAAAGCCTAAAAAGATTTTTTTTTTATTCCACGGCAGCAAGGTATAAGATAGTGAAAACTAGCCTCAACCATTCCCCCCACACACACTTTTAGGCCTTGTGCCAAAATTTTGTATTTTTTATGTACAATAAATATCAGTAAATAAATATCAGTACGATTTTTTTCTGAGCTTGGTGGACAAAGAAGGGTTTCTGCTGGTGAGAAGTGAAGGTTGGATTTGTGACCCCATTTTGTCATTACTGTTTCCTGTTGGACTCTTACTACAGACTCTCGTTTCAACTGTGAATTGGCTACAAGTGTTGCAGACAAGAGACAGATGAAACCTAGTGGAGACATTTATTGCTACAATAAGTTTACAGTTATTTTTCCTTTCTCTTCTCGACTACAACACTAACTTAACGAGCTTTTGTATATTTGGCAGAACGCACATTAGGAGATATAGCCAAATTACAAAATTGAATAAGAGTTACAACGGACAGAAAGCGGAGAGAATAAAAATTTAATAAGATCGAACAATATAAGATGGGAAAACATTCTATATTCTCATGAGTTTCGCTTTTTGCGTTTTTAAATTATGAAGACATCCTGGATTTTATCAAAGGTTGATTCTTTTCTTAGCAGTGTAATAATATGTGGAAGTTTTTTCTTGGTATACGGTGTGTAACAGAAAAATTGTCCAAAACGTGTAACATCATAATTACTCATTTCACAAACTGGTTAATATCTAAAAAAAAAAAAAACACTAGAGTAATTGAGTTTCTTTTTTTCTATGTTTTCAGATAAGACGTTTATCCATCACGCCACCATTTGTCATACGAATCACTGAAAAGCCTTTTGAGTTATTCAGCTAGAAAGAGAACAGGGTAAAATCGTTTTGTGTCAGACCCACTGTCTTCCCAGTTGAGCAGTGGTGAGAGGAAAAAGATCATTCAGGTCTTCAGTAATTGTACCAACATTTATACTCTGGCTTCCATCATCAAATTCCATTCTAGAACCATCAGGAGAGCGGTGAATAAGTTTAAAAAAGAGAAGAGTAGAGAGGAAAAGGTCACGACATAAAGAGAGATATTGTGATCCTTGGTATCAGTAAACTATCTTCTAAATGCCGTAACCTACCTAAGTATTGTCCCTAATGTAGTGACGCAGCCCAGATCAGACAAAGGGTTATTCCTCAGGGTGCAGCTTCTTCCAGTCAAACGCTTATGGCATAAAAATAGTTTTTGGGCCAGATTGTTACTCACGAAATAAAACCATGAGCCGATTGTAGCAGTAGGCAAATTATATTCGATTGTAACATTCTGCTGCAGACGAGCGAGGCAGAGAGGTAAAGCGAGGGCGGGAAAGTGAACAGTCTAACAGTTCTGTCTTCCTCTTCGCGATGCGGATGAGCAGTCTCTAGTTCGTCTCTGTCTGCTCTCTGCGGTGTCTCTGCCTATTTCTCATGTGAACCACTGTCTTATAAAGAACCACGTTAAAAATCATTTATCAAGAACCCAGGGTCTTGTTCCACTCTGTGACTCTTTTTGTCAGGCTCGGCTGACAGGATCTCCAGTGAGGTCCTCAGCTAATATTATCAAGGCAATAACTGTCAGAACAATTTTTGTAACATCCTTCAGCTGTTTTTATTTAATGAGATATGAACTGACACGGATATCACTACACTGACTACCTCTCTCAATTTATGACCGTTTTACACCATCACTGAATGGCTACTTCTGCAATGACAAGTAATAAATTAATTCAAGTCTGTTAGCGGATTGGATCATGGAATCTTTTCGGCCATTAGTGAGAAGCAAGGTTTCGGTAGAATAGTTAACTTTCCCTCATGAGAAAATGTCCTGCTCTTGACCCTTCCCTCTGTTATCTCACGGAATTGACCGATGTCTTCATCGATAAACGTGGTGGAACTAGCTTTAGTTCTCTGCATCAGTTTCCGTGGTTTGATAAAAAAAAATTATCGGCACTGGTGTTATAAAAAGAAAAACAACAAGACATACCCATTCGACAATTAACCTCCTTCAAAGCAGTCACCTTCCGAAGCCACACACATTATCCAGCGTCGTTTCAATTAACTGGAGCATTCCTGTAACTCTTTTTAGGGAGGGGGGATTTTATTTTTGAAAACAGGAAAAAAGTCGAAAGGAATAATTACTTAGCAACTGACCTAGCAATGGATTCAATATAGTTTTTCCCCTTTTATGTTAGCTGAGGACGTTAGGTCGATGAGTAGCAAGCCACTCTCCTGGGGGTTAGCAAAAGCTATGCTAATGTAATGCATAAAGGGGTCTCACAGGTAATTTAGTATAAAAAATAATATGATTTAGTATAAAAAATAATATGATTTAGTATAAAAAATAATATGATTTAGTATAAAATAAGGATTTAGTACAACATATGACATTTGTGGTAATATTATTATCAAATGAATTGTTTATGTATTTTTGGTAAATTCAATATAAAAAGATACACACCCACAATATCCTGAGCTGAGAGTTGTTTAGCATTGTAGTTTATCGTCATAGCTAGGACAAAGGTTAGTTCCCCTCTCTCTCTATCTCTCTCTCTCTCTCTCTCTCTCTCTCTCTATCTATATATATATATATATATATATATATATATATATATATATATATATATATATTCAATATTGAATATATTGAATGTAGAACCTACATTCAACACCATCACTTGATAAGTCACCAGAAGTGTTGAAACAAAATGGTTATTTTTGTAGTGATTTTATAACATATTTATATTATAATTTTCGAATAAATTATATATATATATATATATATATATATATATATATGGAGGGAGAGAGAGAAGGAGAGATAGATAGATAGATAGATAGATAGAGGAGACAGAGAGAAAGAAATAGAAATGGAGCAAAAGAAAAGAGAGCGAGGGAGAGAGTGATTTTATTATTAGTGCTTATTAACACATGATGAATATTTCATATTACGCAATATTTTCCAACACACACTCACAGATAAGTACACATGCACGCACACACACATACACATGCGCATATATATATATATATATATATATATATATATATATATATATATATATATATATATATACACACCTATTAATATAATACATTAGATTTATTGACAAAGATATAACGTATTATAATTCAATTTATTCAACACTATTATAATTGCAGAATATACTTCTATTCTTCATGCGTATCATTCATCGAATATATATATATATATATATATATATATATATATTGATCCACATATGCATGATCACATATTTCCTGTCATCTCTAGCGTCAAATAAATACAATAAACATTCCAGTCTCCCGAAACTAACAAAGACCAAAATTATTATGTCCTTTTTTTTTTTTTTCATAGACTTTTTTTCATTTTTCGAAATTCTTGCCTTGGACGAAAGTGATAATTATTTATAGGATAGATACGAAGGTAAGGTTTACCATCCAGGGGAGACCGGTGTCCTTAGAGAGAAGAGACGAGACATGAAAGAGATGTAAAGAAAAAAAAAATGAAAAAAAAAACAACAACTACGACTTAGAAAGGCATGTGGAACGTGACAGCAACCCTGATTAGCGACTTACAGAAGTATAAAAATATTTCTTTGAAGCCTGTCCAAAATAAATAAATAATACTGTGCTCTCTGTCCAAGTCCTTTTATCAAGATAACGCTCATAGTTTTCATTGGTGAGACGTTAGGTATGTGTTTGAAGAAGCGGGAAAATGAAAAGGAAATGCTGAAAAGGAAGATGGAATCATGGGAAATTGTAATAGAGAAGAGTGATGATGAGAGAGAAAGTGGGACGAATAAGAGGGGGTTAGATGAAAAGGAAAGAGGAAAGTTTAAAAGAGAGAAAGAACCGAAAGACAATGCGATGGAGAAGGAAAAGGGAGAGGATTAAAGGGAGATAAATGGGGGAGGCGAAAGAGAAGAAAGCAAAAAAGAAAAAAGAAAAGAGAAAGAAAGAAAAGTAAAAAGAAAATTAAAAGAAAAGGGGAATAAGAATGATAGAAAAAAGAAAAAAAAATTAAAATAAAAGAAAGAAAAGGTAAAGAACTAAGAATGATAAGGAAGAGAAAGATAAAAAATGATCGAAAATAAAAAAGAAAGAAAAGGTAAAGAACTAAGAATGATAAGGAAGAGAAAGATAAAAAAATGATCGAAAATAAAAAAAAGAAAGAAAAGGTAAAGAACTAAGAATGATAAGGAAGAAAAGATAAAAAAAAATGATCGAAAATAAAAAAAGAAAGAAAAGGTAAAGAACTAAGAATGATAAGGAAGAGAAAGATAAAAAATGATCGAAAATAAAAGAAAGAAAAGGTAAAGAACTAAGAATGATAAGAAAGAAAAAAATGATCGAAAATAAAAGAAAGAAAAGGTAAAGAACTAAGAATGATAAGGAAGAGAAAGATAAAAAAAATGATCGAAAATAAAAGAAAGAAAAGGTAAAGAACTAAGAATGATAAGGAAGAGAAAGATAAAAAAAATGATCGAAAATAAAAGAAAGAAAAGGTAAAGAACTAAGAATGATAAGGAAGAGAAAGATAAAAAAAAATGATCGAAAATAAAAGAAAGAAAAGGTAAAGAACTAAGAATGATAAGGAAGAGAAAGATAAAAAAATGATCGAAAATAAAAGAAAGAAAAGGTAAAGAACTAAGAATGATAAGGAAGAGAAAGATAAAAAAATGATCGAAAATAAAAGAAAGAAAAGGTAAAGAACTAAGAATGATAAGGAAGAGAAAGATAAAAAAAATGATCGAAAATAAAAGAAAGAAAAGGTAAAGAACTAAGAATGATAAGGAAGAGAAAGATAAATAATGATCGAAAATAAAAGAAAGAAAAGGTAAAGAACTAAGAATGATAAGGAAGAGAAAGATAAAAAAATGATCGAAAATAAAAGAAAGAAAAGGTAAAGAACTAAGAATGATAAGGAAGAGAAAGATAAAAATGATCGAAAATAAAAGAAAGAAAAGGTAAAGAACTAAGAATGATAAGGAAGAGAAAGATAAAAAATGATCGAAAATAAAAAGAAGAAAAAGGTAAAGAACTAAGAATGATAAGGAAGAGAAAGATAAAAAAAATGATCGAAAATAAAAGAAAGAAAAGGTAAAGAACTAAGAATGATAAGGAAGAGAAAGATAAAAAAAATGATCGAAAATAAAAGAAAGAAAAGGTAAAGAACTAAGAATGATAAGGAAGAGAAAGATAAAAAAATGATCGAAAATAAAAGAAAGAAAAGGTAAAGAACTAAGAATGATAAGGAAGAGAAAGATAAAAAAATGATCGAAAATAAAAGAAAGAAAAGGTAAAGAACTAAGAATGATAAGGAAGAGAAAAAGAAAAAAAAATGAAAAAAAAAAGGAAAAAGAAAGAACTAAGAATGAAATAAAAAATGATCGAAAATAAAAGAAAAGGTAAAGAACTAAGAATGATAAGGAAGAGAAAGATAAAAAAAAAGATCGAAAATAAAAGAAAGAAAAAGAAAAAGAACAAGAAACAAAAGGAGGAAAAGAAATACGAAAAGTCAAAGAAATAAAAAAGGTAATGAAAAAGAAGAAAAATGAGTGAAAAAGAAAATGAAGAACAATAGATAAGAAATTAAAAATCCGTAAAAAGATAGAGTAGAAGAAGAAGAAGAAGAGAAAGAAGAAGAAGAATACGTAAAGGCGAAGACGAAATAAGTCGACGAAGAAGGAGAACGCGAAGTCAAAGAAGTAAAACGAAATATTCAAAAATGAAGGTAAGTAAATGAAATAGAAGGAAAGAACAGATGGAAAAAGAAAATGAAGAAAAAAAAGAGAAAAAAAATGGAAAAGAAAAACAAATTTAAAAAAAAAACGATATGGGTAGAAGAACAAGAGGAAAAGGCATATAAGGAGACTGAAGGAAAATGAGACAAAATGCTAATGAGGAAAAAAAGGGGGGAAATATAAAGGAAGTGTGAAGGAAAGAATAAACGGAGACAGATAAAAAAAAAAAGTAACATTTGGATGATTTAAATGAATAAAAAAGAGCCGGATTAAAAAGTAAATAACAAAGATAAATAGAAGGAAAAAATAAAGAGAAGAAAAATAGAAAGAAATGGTTAAAAAAAAAGGGGGAGAAAAAAAAGAACTAAAGGAGAAGAAAAAAAAGAAAAGTGCGGATAACGAAGAAAATTCAGAGAAATGTGACCTCGAAAAAAGCATACGATACAGTGAAGGAAGGAAAACAAAGAAAGAGAGAAGCACGAAAATGAAGGACGAAGAAGAAGAAGAAGAAGAAGAAGAAGAAGAAGAAGAAGAAGAAGAAGAAGAAGAAATACTGACAACAACGGTAAAAAAAAGGTAGAGGGAAAGTCTAGGAACACTGAACTGAGAAAGAGTGTTGTTATTTGGTTGAAGATTCCAGGAATCTCTTGAGAAACGGCGCTTCCTTATCGAGTGATACTTGAGAAGCAGTAGGGACGAGAAATCGGAGGAAATCGATGGAGCTTTTCGTTTTCTGTGCCGCCGAAGAAAGCAGTTGGCTAAAGTACGAATACATATGTTAACGTGTCAGCATGAGAAAGACACATTTAGCATAAATGCTTTCACACATACATGACATAAGTACACTGACATCAGCTGTGATATTTAGTAAAGATATAAGCTATGACAAGAAGTAAAACCCATAAAAACCCAAGAGAAAAGAATATAAAATCACCTCACAATACCCCGTACTCCAAGAAGATGTCGATAGTCAGATCTGGAATTGTAAAGGTGGAATGAGCCTACTTCAAATATCGCGTTTAAAAATGTATTTCATATGTGAACCGTTTGAACGTTCAATTCTCACATGAAAAAAACTGTTTTCTTTTCAGGTCGAGAGCGATGTGTCATACTGCAAGAAATAGATAAAATTCACAATTCTGAGCTTTAAGTCGATCTTTCTAACAACGTGTAGCCTAACAGAACAACAATATCTTAATTTTAACCACACGTGGTTTTTATTGCGGTACTAGAAAGACATTTCAGTTATGTGCCATGTGTAATACACGCTTAGGTGATCATGTACCTTTCGATAAATAACTGACGAAGCAATTTTTTTTCCTGTAGTAGGTTGCCATTTCTTTTTCCTTTTCCTGTAGACCAGTTGCCATCTAAGGTTATAGAACCCGGTCTATTTTCCCCAGCTGGAGGGAGAAGATTCATACCTTTCCCAAGGGTATTAGCACGTAAGTGAATGTAATGGATTCGACTGGAATTCGAACTCGGTTCTCCTATTTCTCAATCCGAGCCGCTATCCATTACTCCACCGTGATTTTAACAGCAAGGACTTGAATATTTACTTCATATTTTGAAGACAGTTTGGATATTACAAAATAGAAGATAGCAGATCTGATAAATTATTTTCTTGTAGGAACTAAAAAACTAAACTTTTCTTGAAGACAAGCTTTCTTATCTGTGCGAATGACATGACTATTTATTTATAAGTCATTTATGCTGACGACACACCTATTTATTCCTATCTTCAAGGTCTCCACATCATGTAAGTAGAAAACGTGAGATTCAAACGGCGATTGATTGGGCTTTTCTGGATGTTAGCATCAGCCATGCTGATTGGGGGCAAAAATGGTAAAGTGTTGTGGTAGGATCCACCTAATTTGCATAGTGGAGTACCGACCATATAAATATGGTTGGTACCGAGAAGAGAAGGAGGAATCAAGAGATTCAACCAGAGACTCTGCCCGACTGCGACTCAGTCAACACATTCTCCAGGAACGGTCTTACCAGGAATATACGAAAGACTATATGTAAATATTGTGTACACTTTCTTGTTTCAATACATTTTCTAAGTACATTTTGTGTTGCATTATTATTCCATGCATTAGTCAAGTTTCAACATAAAGACCAATTACTTGCAAAACGATATAATATACCAAACCAATGTAAAGAAAAAACACAGCCAATAACAAAAAATATATAGGAATAACTGAAGAAATCTAAAAACCTTAAAACTAAGCACACATAACTGAAAAATGGCATCAACCTAAAACAATAAATCCAAAAGCTGTAAACGCTGTCTGGAGGAGAAAATAGGTATAATTACCTTGGCAGACCAACACAAATTACTAAATTAACTTACGTCAAAATGCTGTTATACAAAGCAAATAATGTATCATAGTTTGTACAAAGGCAACACTTTAAACAAAAAAAAAAAGCCAAAAAAACAAACTAACATACTATGAATGCCTGTTTAAAAATAACTAAGTAAATGTAATAATAATAATAACATCTCCCAGATCCGGTTACGGAGATGGGACCGGTAACAATTTTATGGAACTTCATAATAGATACAGGCAGAACAATCAAGGTTAATTGCCCGGACATCGTTATTAGAGACCGCAAACAAAAAAAGTGCCTCCTTATTGATATAGAAGTCCCTGTAGACTGCAATGTATGTTTGAAGGGATTCCTGGAAGCCCATGCCTTAAAGAAATACAAATAATTGTTCTTACGAATACAGCACACACCTTTCGAAGGGCTTTATCTATGTAAAATATGTATTTTTGTTTGTTTGTTTTAAATTGATCAGTAGTGAATGTCATGATGCCATTTTTGACCTTAGGTCTCTGGTCGGGAGCCGGAAAAAATGAGTACACACCAGAAATCAAACCAGGAAATAAAAGTCGTAATAAAAAACAAATAATTAATGAATAAATACAAAATACCCCTAATTTATCAATAATAAACAATCGGTAAAAAGTTAACAAACCACACTGTACAATAGCCATAAATAACCGCATTCTTGCACACTATTCCATCCTGGGTATGACGATAAACTACATCCGCGTCCTGGGTAAGACAATAAACTACGGTCTCTGATCAGGAGGTTTTGAGGAGCGTGGAATCACCTCTTAATTGCTGGTGTTCCCAGGTCCACCCTGACCATGGCTGGTAGCAAAAGATCATTGGGCGTAGCAAATGCATGAATATCTGGTTTATTGTATTACCCAAACTGTTATTGCGTAGGCGTTAACTGTTATATTTCAAATTATTTTAAAGGCTATTCAGTTGGATTAATAGTGTGTCAGTTTGATTTAGTTTGGGTTATTTAATTCTGACAAAATCTTTATTTCTGGTAATATTTTTCCTTCAAGAATGTATATCTGGTAATAATCTCTTATTTTTTTTTCAAAAAATATATTGCTGGCAATAATTTTATTTTAATTTATTTTATTTTTTACAACGTATTTATAGTATTAAAACCTATTTTTACACATACATAGTGTTTTGACCCAGTTTGGGGATTAACTATTTGCCCATAGCTGGGACCCTAACAGGTGCTACTACCCAGGGTTACGGTGGACCTTGGAACACTAGCAATTAAGAGCTGATTTCACGCACCTCAAAACATCCTGAGCAGCGTCCTTGCTGTTGAAAGTTTATCGTCTTACCCAGGACGCGGATATATTTTATCGTCATGCCTAAGACGTTATATATATATATATATATATATATATATATATATATATATATATATATATATATATATATATATATGGTATATCAGAAATATATTTACAAACTTTGCGGCCGGCTCCCTTATACCAAGGACAAAAGTCCATATAAACATATGACGCATATCATTCTTCTTTGAATTATTAAGTTTAAAGGAAGCTTATAGTAGATGGCGCTGTGTGGTCATGTAGACTAGGTTACATTTTTCATTCGTGTACATTTGTGCCCAGTCTCTCTTCAACGTTTAACGTATAGTAGTAAGTTAATTGAGTTGTGTTCCGTTTAACTATGGCAGAATATTCTATCGCGACCAGGCAGATATGACTTTAATTTTACAGCCTCACGAACAGTAATGGACGCGAGGCTGCACGGCTGTATAAGTTTTTCTGTATAACTTTTCTTTTGCAGACCGACGGCATCCGAACCATACAAACGTTTCTGCTGTTTAGCGTCACGTTGCTGATATAGGAACTGTGGCACCACAAACTATCGTAATATTTCATTTTGGATTCTATTTTGTACCTTTAACAGCACCTACTTAATAACTCAAAAATGAAGGATTTGCGTTCATATGTTTATATGGACTTTTGTCCTTGTCTGTCCTCAAAGTTTGTAAAAGTATTCTGATAGACCCTTTATACACACACACACACAGACACATATATATATATTGTATTTATTTAGAAATTATAACATGAGTATGTAGCCATTTTGTTTCAACACTTAACAAGACAACAGAACTGTTGAAACAAAATGGCCATTTTTGTAGTGATGTCATAACATGCTTATGTTATAATTTTTAAGTAAATATTATACCCTCTACTCTGTATTGAAAAAATACTGTTTTTGGTTACTGTATGTTTATTGCATCTATACGAACCTTGTATATATATATATATATATATATATATATATATATATATATATATAGATAACTAGACTCGTTTTGAAAAACCCTCGAATTTTTGATTTAATCAAATCAATTTCGAGGGAAAAAAAATTTTTAAAAAAGAAAAGATCTACGAACATGAACTTCTGCCGACAAAAATCGCACAGATGCAGGTCTGAAGCCCAAGGAAAAAACCCCGATACGAGTAACAACTAACTAACAAAAGAGCTCAATACAATCGTAGAGCAGACCTAGATACACCTAGTGAGCCAGACAAACCTACCTAGGTTTCACCTAAACGGATCGTCAGGGAAAGCTTGGCTAACGAGGCAAAGAGAAGCACATATTTATAGGTGATAGCTAAAATCATACCACGTGACAAAAACAAAAAAAAAAACAAAAAAAAAACAACCTAAATATTTATTCAACAACAAAAAAAAAATCCTCAGTGGAAAGTCAATAACGGGAAAACGTCTAATTTAGTAGCCATGATTTTTTATGTCTACATACATTGAGAATTTCAGTTTTAGAGTTCAATAGCTGGTTAGGTCGATCATATAAATATATCAAATCGATCATATATATATTACTACACATTTAAAATATAGGAAATCTATTATCGAGCCATTGTTAACAAGGTCGTCTGGAATGTAATTTGACGAGTTCTGATGTACTTTCATTTTGAAGTTGTCTCATCATTTAAACCTCGTATCAGAAGAAACCTGTTTCGGTTTTACGTAACCCACAAAGGATTGATAAGAATTACAAACACAAAAACGAATCAATCAATTCTAAATGAGAAATAATCTTTCCTTTTGTTCATTGTTTAAATCTCGTTTGATCTTACTTACACACACACACACACATATATATATATATATATATATATATATATATATATATATATATATATATATATATATATATTATATTATATTATATTATGTTTTTTTTTAACCTGTGTCTGTCTGATAGTAAACATCAGTGGTAAATAATTGTGACTTTTGCTGATCTTAACTCATTAAAGAAAAGTTTGCTGATAGACTGTTGTTGAATTAGACGCCATTTTAAAATTTCAGTTCCATTCCTAGTAGATAAATTTGGCTGTACTTTAAGAATTTTTTATATTACCGCTATTCTAAATACGAAGTCCGTCAAGAAAGCATCCAGATATTTAATATTAACAAAAAGGTCCGCTTCAAATACTCCTTTTGGAG